ACTGCAGAAGTAGTATTAAGACATTTATAAAATCAGTGATGACCACATACAGCCCTTAGCCCCCCAAAAAGATAACAAAAATACAATGCTCTTGTCTAAGAGAGTTGCTGCACCCTGTAATGTACCAATGTTATATATTTCTCATCGATTGTTATAGTTTCCGCTGATTAAATCAATATTGACTCATAAAGTATTACCATCACACCAATTGTCACCAGAAGCAAGTGTATGCTATTCAAGCATTAACTATCATGAAAAAATGGCAGCTTGGTTGTTTAGAAGCTATAATATGGTACCAGTCATTCCCAAATTTCCCTAATGCATTATCAATTTCATAGAAAAGTGCTATTCTTTCTGTACTAGTCTGTAGCCAAAAAGGAGGAAAAGCCTTTAAACAACTACTTTTTCCCTTGGCTAAATACTGCTATATATTCATGGTAAATAAAAGGTTTATTGATGTAGGAGAAAACGTGTTGGTAGGTTAAATTTTTCCATATTACTAGAAGATTAAAACAGAGGTCAGCTAAATATTTAATGGATATAGAACTATCCATTAAAATTCAAATGAATATAAATTGCTATGATATAAAACTTATATTATCAACATCATCATCTATATAGATGGGTACCATATTTGCATCACACTCTTTCTAGATGCTGTGTCTGGAATGCTGCTAGCTTATTCTTCTTTTTCATAAAAGACAATCACTAAATTCCTAGTTAAAGCTCACATACCTCAAGTTACTAATAGCATCAACTTGTAACGAACAAGTCTAGAGACATTTAAAAACCAGCCTGCTGGCCAGGCGCGGTGGCTCACACCTGTAATCCCAGCACTTTGGGAGGCCAAAGCAGGTGGATCACAAGGTCAGGAGATCGAGACCATCCTGGCCAACATGGTGAAACCCCGTCTCTACTAAAAATATAAAAATTAGCTGGGCATGGTGGCACGCCCCTATAGTCCCAGCTACTCGGGAGGCTGAGGCAGGAGAATCGCTTGAACCCGGGAGGCAGAGCTTGCAGTGAGCCAAGATCACACCACTGCACTCCAGCCTGGCAACAGAGCAAGACTCCATCTCAAAAAAAGAAAAAAACAGAAAAAAAGAAAAAACTAAGAAAAAGAAAAGAAAAAAAAATTCCTGCTCTAGACATGCAAAAAAAAAAAAAAGAATAAAATACTTGTTTTTCTAGGAGGCCCACAGATACCCATTCTACATGTTAACTATCCTATCTGATTGTGTAGACATTGCCTAGACTATTAAAACCATCTAGTAACTGATAGGTAATTGCTCATTTGTTGACTGCAGCAGTGTATAGCAGCAGACAGAAGCTGTGAGGGAAGCCATCCTTCCTTGCTAATATAACATGTAGAACTTGCTGCTACTGCAACACTTAATGCTCACAGTACCGAGTCATCTTTAATGCAAACACACATTTTCTGCTTTGCTTCTATGTTTTCCATTATAATGCAACACAAAAACAGTGTACATTTCATTCCATCCCTACGAGGTTTGCATAAGCAGTTCCAAGTCAGACTAAATATTGTATTGCTCTTATTACAGTGGATAAATATTTTAAAGTTTAGGAATTAAATATTTTATTTTTTCGGCATGCTCTCTGCAACTATTACGAACTTTTCACAGCTTCTTCATTCATGGGAAATCTGTAGGGTTTCCTTTTTCAAATGTAAGGCTGTTATTTGTTTCCCCAAACAGAAGCAGATCAGAGTTAACGAATAAGTTCAATAAATCACTTCTTACTTGGTGTTATTAAGAACACTATGCTTCTTCATATAAAGAAAGAGACTTTTCTACAAGGCATGTATCCTTTATTATAATAAAAGTTTGCTAACAAAAAAATGAATCAAGTACATCTTTAATATACAATTTCTCTCTTCATTTTTATAACAGTTAGCAGATTTTTTTCTTTTTTCTTTTTTTTTTGGCATCTATCTCTTTACTTGACACAGGTATTTCTCACACTAAATTAAGACAACCTATCCTGAGAAAAGCATGTCCTGAGCTGTTTGGTTGAAATTTTCCACAAAATAAGAAACCAAGAGGCTGTTTATACGTTTGCCTTAAAAGAAGTAGACTAATTATGCCAACTGATTTATTAATATGTGAAGTTCTCTGTCCAATTATTAAAAGTACAAAGAGATCAGGGAGTAATTTAAACGTCTAATGCACCTCAAATCCTTTTTTCTCCAAAGGTAATTATAATTGCAAGCAAAGTTACTCTAGATAGGCCCCTTAGGTTTCATGCAAGTTTAAATAAAATCATAACAATAACATTACCTCATTGGCCAGGTCCAGGAGCACTGGGGCAGCTCCATTTTTCACCACTCCATTCAGGTACCTAGACAAGACAAAACCAAGTGGTAATGCAGTGACAAGAAAAGAGCCAGCATAGACTTGTCAGCATCCCCTGTGTGTATACATGTTTCTCCTGGGCAAATGCCACGCTCAACTCTAGTTAAAGTAAGCTACGTTCATAGGAAAGCACTGAAGGGAAAAACATAACACAAACAACTCACCTCAAAACCACTGGCAACTAAGAAGCTGAAGGTGGGGGCAGGAGGTGTGAATACTTGGGTCTCTCTTGTTTTCTTTCACCTCCTAACATATAAAATGAACAAGAGGAACTATCCATATCACTCTGTCCTGTCTCTACCACAGACAGCCATTGCATGGAAAGGAAAGAAGTTGACTTATATAGTTTGAGAAAAGTATTCATGCACCCATCTCGCCTTTTCCTTTACCTCTGTTTCACAGGGCTGCTTGACACCTTACTAAGAACACAATGGAGTAGACATGTCCTCAGTGGGTCAGCACACCTATGACAGGCAATACAAGCTATCACCTTATCTGCCCTGGATTTCTGTAAGAACCTCCAGTTCCCATTATCCTCTCACTCCACTGGAAAAAAACACAGAACTCCCCAAAATCCCCAAACAAAACAAAACCCCAGACACGGAAGCTGGGGTGACTTTTTCTTTTTTTTGGCAAAAATTTGAATGTGTCATTCCCCTCCTTATAACACTTCAAGGTCCCACATTAAATCTCAAGATTAATTTATAACCATTTAACAGCTCTTATAAGGTTCTTCATAATCTGGTTTCTACCTACTCTCTACTCTGCCAGCCTCATCTCTAGCCACTGTCTCCCACTCCCATCCCCCACCTGGATAACTCATGATTCAGTTCAGATGTCACCTTCTTCGATCCACTACCATAGAAGAGTAAGTTAAGTGCTCCTCATATGCAATCGAGGAATATCCTGTACATCTTTCCATCATGTAACGTAGCATATTGTATTTGCCTATTACTTGGCTACCTCAAACCCATCCCCCACTGTAATGTTGAAAGCCTCATGAAGGTTGGAGAATTGTAGTTTTTTCAATTTATTATGCCTACCAAGTACTTTGTTTATAGTAGGTGATTATACACTAAAAAATCACCTTATCTTTTTCCTTTAATAAATGAAAAATTAAATAATCTTTAAAAACCGTATTGGACAAGAAAGCAGAATTAGGTATGGAAATTTTCCCTACAGTATATTATTTGAGTGAATAAGTTCTGGGTATTTGTCTGAGAGTAATAAAGTCAAGAGGTGGGGTCTTCCATATAACTGCCAGAAGCAGGTACTAAATTACATTATTTCATGAGTATATTTATAAAGTTGTATAATTTTCCTGTAAGCCAAGTGGGGTAAGAGCAAATTATTTAAGGTGGGGAGAACCTCTAGATCATTATAACTTCAATATAATTCTAACAAAGCAATTTTCCACATATTGGGGCCACCCTTGAATGTATTATTTGGAAAACTAATTGGAAAATATGCACATTCAGAAGCAAGAAGAAAAAATAAATAAATAAAACAAGGCAAATGTGCTTTAGAGAAAGGTCCCTGGGAAATAGGTCCATTAAGAACCTCATATCGGCTGGACGCAGTGGCTCACACCTGTAATCCCAGCACTTTGGGAGGCCGAGGCGGAGGGATCACGAGGTCAGGAGATCGAGACCTTCCTGGCTAACACGGTGAAATCCCGTCTCTACTAAAAAATACAAAAAACTAGCCGGGCAAGGTGGCAGCGCCTGTAGTCCCAGCTACTCCGGAGGCTTAGGCAGGAGAATGGCGTGAACCCGGGAAGCGGAGTCCACTGCACTGACACCACCCAAGTATCAGCCAAGTCAGACCAGCTGATTGTGTGCCTGTAACCACCAACAGTGCGTATTTACTATGGTTTCTGATTCTGGGTCAGCATCTTTAAGCCTGTACTGATACTGGGATATCTCTACAGCTTTCTACTTCAGTTTCAGTTACCCGACAAGTATTTTGGAGGGCTATGTGTCAGGTCTTATTCCAGGTTCTGAAGAAGCAACGGGGGGGAAAAGAACCATTCATTGTCCTATCATCACTGAGATTATATTACAGTGGTGACACAAACAATAAAAAGACAGGGAGATAAATATACAGTATAATGGTATACGCTAGAATAAAAATGTAAACTTAGACGGGTTGCTCAGGAAGCCCCCCTCTGAGGAAGTGACACTCGAGTAGAAATCAGCATGAAAAGAAAGAGTATGCCATAGCGAGAGCTGACTGCACAGTGAAAGAGAGTAGTAGCTAGATGCCAGACTACCTCTTACACCAGAGATCTGTTGCTTTAAGTCAAAATGACATGGCTTCAGGTAAAAGTTACATCAGTCATTATCCTGCTGATGACCAGTGAAGCACTTTTATCAAGTTTAAAGAAACAGAAGGTGATTAAACAATAATTACAATCCTCTGTATCTATATATTCTATATAACATTAAAAGCATGATCATACTTAAGACTGTGGAAATTCCTAATTACGAGGTTGGTAAGGCTTCCCAGTTGGTCATATAAAGAAACCAAACCCCAGGGCACTGATCAAACCCATCTGGGCTCTCTTAGCTAGTAAACAATAAAGCTATGGAACCCTGAAATAGAACCCTGGTCCCCCAAGGCCTAGTGAGGTGCCGCATACATTGAACATGGTGGATCTGCTCTAAATGTATTTGTTTTCCAATCTGCTTTCCAACTGTATCCTATAATATTTCATAAGTGCTAGGAATGAAAAATTAAGTTTAATTTTGGCCTAGTGAGGTGCCGCATACGTTGAACATGCGGGATCTGCTCTAAATGTATTTGTTTTCCAATCTGTTTCCCAACTATATCCTATAACACCTCATAAGTGGTAGGAAAAAAAATTAAGTTTAATTTCAGGTTATATTTGTCTTTTCTGGAAACTTTAATTACTCCCCACATCAAAGTGACAGATCAGGCTTTATTTAAATTTTCAGATATGTAATCAAAGGGACATACTAATTACTGAAAATATTCCATAAAGACATAATTAGAAAATCCTAATGGTACCTTCCTCTGCATCCTCATCATAATCTTGTGCAAACTTACGGCACTGCACTTTTCACACTGGTATAAGGGTTTGCTTCTGTCTCCAGCTATCCTGAACGCTCTTTGGGGTAGGGCTACACAAATGAATGTTGAACCTTCATCCAATCCTGGCAAACATCCCAATTGCAATTGGGATATAAGGATGTCATTCTCAACACTACATTAAGGTGACCTGGGCTCCATTCCTAATGCCCAGGAGAATTCATGTGTCTCTGCATTCTTGCTAGCATTGAGTTGATCCAATTAAGAATTCAAAGACTGTATTTTTTTTTTTGAGACGAAGTGGTGCTCTGTCACCCAGGCTGGAGTGCAGTGGTGCAATCTTGGCTCACTGCAACCTTCGCCTCCTGGGTTCAAGCAATTCTGCTACCTCAGCCTCCCAAGGAGCTGAGATTACAGGTTCCTGCCACTACACCTGGCTAGTTTTTGTGCTTTTAGTAGAGACGGAGTTTTGCCATGTTGGCTAAGCTGGTCTTGAACTCCTGACCTCAGGTTATCCGCCTGACTCTGCCTCCCATCAAAATCTGTATTTTACATGATTTCATCATGATTAACAGAAACCTCACAATATCTAGATAGCAGAAAATGTTTTCTGGCTGGGCACGGTGGCTCACACCTGTAATCCCAGCACTTTGGGAGGCCAAGGCAGGTGGATCACTTGAGGCCAGGAGTTTGAGACCTCCCTGCACAGCATGGGGAAACCTTGTCTCTGCTAAAAGCACAAAAATTAGCCTGGCATAGTGGCGCGTGCCTGTAGTCCCAACTACTCAGAAGGCTGAGGCACAAGAATCACTGGAACCCAGGAGGTGGAGGTTGCAGTGAGCCAAGATTGTACCACTGTACTGCAGCCTGAGTGACGGAGAAAGGCTCTGTCTCAAAATATAATAAAAAAATAAAAGTTTTCTCAAGCTTTTGAATTATTGAAGAAATTTCCTCAGTTCTTCATGTTGTATATAAATAGACACAACTCGAGAGTTTACTTTGAAAAATCTCTATTCTTTCACACTGTACTAATGCCATCTTATTTCTTTTTTTTTTTTTTTTTTTGAGACAGAGTCTCGCTTAGTCGCCCAGGCTGGAGTGCAGTGGCGCGATCTCGGCTCACTGCAAGCTCCGCCTCCCGGGTTCACGCCATTCACCTGCCTCAGCCTCCCGAGTAGCTGGGACTACAGGCGCCCGCGCCCTCGCCCGGCTAATTTTTTGCATTTTAGTAGAGACGGGGTTTCACCATGTTAGCCAGGATGGTCTCGATCTCTGACCTCGTGATCCGCCCGCCTCGGCCTCCCAAAGTGCTAGGATTACAGGCGTGAGCCACCGCGCCCGGCCATGCCATCTTATTTCTAAACAGGAAACATTCTTGGTGAAATTTGTTTGGGTTCGCCTACATTGGTGCACATGAGCATAAGTGCACATGCACACAGTTGGTCAGATCTGCAAGTCCCCATCAATAGCAAAGTTTAGAAATATTGTCTCCATTTCCTCCCTTCTCCCAGCACACTGGTGGCGGAGCCAGCTTTAGCAGCGTTAGAAGATCAGACCTACAGAACTTTATTCAGATGTTCACATGTAAAAAAGGTTGGCTTCAATATGATATTGGTAATATATATGTGATAAAAATCGTTTCTGAAAATCTGGACCACTTTTTTGTTCAATTAGCACCATCTCCTTTACACTCATTATGCCCCATTTACAATGCTAAAACTCAACAATACAAATGTAAGACACGGTACCCGCCTTCAACTGTTCTTTTTGGTGGGAAAAGAGCTGTGTACATAAGTATGTAAAACGCAGCAAGAGAAGTGCTAACAGGTATGTCTATACAGAGTGCTGCGGGAGTTCCAAGAATTATCGATTTGGGGTATCTGGGGCAACTTGTTTATGTAGTAGTCTAGAAATAAACTTATCATCTTTACTAGTTTGGAGTAAGCAGAAGGTGTTCCAAGCTGAGAGAAAACACTCAGTGAAAGAGTTGTGGATCTTCTTAGGCCAGAGCATGGAGAACTTTGCCTTATATTTGAAATGAGTACACATTAGTTTCATCTTAGATATAAATGAGTCTTTCACACTAAAAAAACATCATAAAATGGGCCTTCTCTGGGGACCTTTTAAGGATGATTTCACCCATAGGATGTATATTTATTAGTCCTCCTGTAGCAAAGCTAGATGATGACATATACCTTCCGTATAAAGTCCTTTTAATTGGCAAATAGGCATCAGGAATGGAGCCCAGGTCACCTTAATACAGTATTAAGGATGACATCCTTATGTCCCAATTGCAATTCAGATCTTTGCCAGAGTTGGATGAGGGTTCAACAGTCATTTGTTTTTGTGTAGCCCTACCCCAAAGAGTTTTCAGGCTAGCTGGAGACAGAAGCAAACCATTACACCAGGTGAAAATTGCAATGCTGTAAGTTTGCACAAGATACTATGAGGATGCACATAAAGGTACCATTAGGATTTTCTGATTATGTCTTTATGGAATATTTTCTGTAATTAGTATGTCCCTTTGATTGCATATCTGAAAATTTAAATAAAGGCTGATCTGTCACTTTGATGTGGGGGATAATTAAAGTTTCCAGAAAAGACAAATACAACCTAAAATTAAACTTTTTTTTCCCTAGCACTTATGAAGTGTTATAGGATATAATTGGGAAAGAGACTGGAAAACAAATACATTTAGAGCAGAACCACCCTGTTCAACATATGCAACCAGTATAACATTTCTAGACTGTAGTTTGGTAATATGTAATACTTTTGAAAAATGTTCACATTGTTTGCACCAATAATTACATATATAGAAATATTAAGAAACTAATCCAAAATGCAGACTCATGCATCAAGATGTTTATCACAGTATTATTTACAATAATAGAACACTGGAGGCCAGGTGCAGTGGCTCATGCCTATAATCCCAGCACTTTGGGAGGCTGAGGCGGGTGGATCACAAGGTCAGGAGATTGAGACCATCCTGGCTAGCATGGTGAAACCCTGTCTCTATTAAAAATACAAAAAATTAGCCAGGCATGGTGGCGGGCACCTGTAGTCCCAGCTGCTCGGGAGGCTGAGGCAGGAGAGTGGCGTGAACCCGGGAGGTGGAGCTTGCAGTGAGCCGAGATCATGCCACTGCACTGCATCCTGGGCAATAGAGCAAGACTCCGTCTCAAAAAAAATAGAACATTGGAAACATATGTTCAAAAAGGAACAATTCAGTAAATTATGATACTTTCATATGATGAAATAAAGCAATCAAAAGATGTTTATAAAAAGCTTTTTACAAAATAATATTATATCATATACATTTTTCCAGGTATAAAACTCAGGATTCACAATTGCTTATAAAATATGACCTCATCAATATAAAAATGGGCTGACAAAAGACTAAAATGAAAAATGCCAGTAGAGATCTCTCAGTAGCACAATTATGGCCAATCATTCATTCCTTTTTAATGCTATCACAAATTAAGTATTGTGAAATTAAATATTTAATTTTCACAATAGCTAAGTATAACTTTATAAAAGAAAACAATTAAATACAATTGCCATTAACATTTTCAAATTGCTTAAATATATTTTGATATAAGAAATACAATTTGGCTTTATTCTAATCTGCTGGAAAACAAACAAAAACCTTTTAAAGCCAATTTACCTTTAGCATAGACAGGAACATTTGACCTGCACATTTCAAACAAAAGGCTACTGAGGTCAATCCATCTGAAAGGTAACAATATGGCCTGTCCCCAAGCACAAAGTGCAGGGCAGAAAGTCAGACAGCAGGTTGGTAAAGCCAGAAAGTGGTCAGACTGCTTTTTTCTGAGACTGTCCATTAAGGTCTAACTTCATGCTTTTGTTTCAAATGCTGTAACTCTTTGAAATAATTGAGACGGTCATATTTAAATAAATTTAAAGAAATCTATTTATGTATTCTCATTGTCACCCACTCAACTGTTCATCACTGGGTATATTTAAAGGTGCTTATTTCTGGGCCAGGCATGGTGGCTCAGGCATGTAATCCCAGCACTTTGGGAGGCTGAGGTGGGAGATCACTTGAGGCCAGAAGTTCAAGACCAGCCTGGGCAAGGTAGCAAGACCCTGCTCTCTAATAAAAAAAAAACAAAAAAAAAAAAAAAAACAAAAAATTCTTTTAATTAGGCTGGCCATGGTGCGTGTGCACCTGTAGGCGCCCAGCTACTCAGGAGACTGAGGCAGTAGGATTGCCCTGAGCCAGGAGTTTGAGGCTGCAGTGAGTTACGATCGTGCCACTGCACTCCAGACTGGGTGGACAGAGAAAGCACCTCTCCAAAAAAAAAAAAATAATATAATATATAATAGTATATATATATGAGATATGTTTTTGTTCTGGCCTATACTACCCAGATACATCCAACAAAAGTATGTTCATACTTCAATAATCAGATGTACTTTTTAATGAAACTTAGATTTTAAATAGCAGCACCTAGTGATCCTAGAAATCATGTATTAATAACTAAAACAACGTTCTTACAATGAGGCAAATGAGTGTCAGAGGGCAGTCCCATTACCTGTTAGCGGATCTCCGAATTTCCAGGAAGGCACACTTTCCTTTCAAATGCTCTATTTTCCTTTGTAGACATTACAAGGCTTTAAAATCCGGACATAAAATCATACTTTTATATGACAGCCTAGGACTATAATGTTTACAAACAAGAATGTATTTTTTGGCATGTAAATAACCTTCAGTGCTTCCTTGAAGAGTCTGGATGCCAACACAGTTGCAGGCTTCACAGCACTTCATGGGCCATTTTTAATTTCATATGTATAATTTAGGTTATGACTTTAATTTGAATGTCAATTTCACCAAGAAGGTTATTACTTTTGAGTAAATCATCAAACTGTACAAAGTCTTGTTTAGAAAGGATCTCTCCTAGACACAAACGTGTGTGTGTGTGTGTGTGTGTGTGTGTGTAATGAGTGCATGTTATCTTTCTTTGACAGGTATTACTACTCAAAACAAAGCATATCTTTTACCACATATTGCAGTGAATAATTTTTTTAAAAAAATCCAACTTCTGTGACTTTCCTGTTCAACATCCCTTTCTTGATTCTAAATAAAATGACTACTGAAACATGACACCAATATTTTATCCACATATTTATTTCATTCATAAAATTTTTATGCATAAAAATCATTCATCTAAAATCAGTGGTGTCATTCTCACCACAGAAAGGTTCATCTGTCAATCTTAAGTATAATAATTTAAGAGCAGATTTCAAACAGTTTTCATTTCCAATGTGCCCTTGGAAGATTTAAGAAACCAACTAACAATTTCTAATGCAAACCATTACCATTTAGTGTTATAAATTATTCAGTCATATTACAATGACAATACAAATTTTAGAATAAAAAAATCAGAGCTATTTTAAAGATTGTTTGTTTCAGAACAAGAAGTTGAAATCTATTTATAATAAATTAGGCTGAAATTAAAGTATCTCCTAGATACCATGCTGTCAATACCCACGGTTGTCTTTTAAAAATACAAAATCTCCTTTAAAATGTGACAGTTATACACTATAATATATCTCCATGTGCCTTTACTTGATATATCTTTTTCCATTTCTGAAATGGATATCCTAATACCTATGATGCAAAATACAACGACATCCAAATTCAATCTTCTTTTTTCAACTTGCTAATCTAAGAAATGAAAATTGGTTTGAGAACTTTCAAATACATGTAGATATATGTATACACGAGCATATGCATTTAGACAAGATATGCACTTATAATAAGTTTCAAGTAGCCAACTGAGATTTCATAATATTGTAACTACATCTCACATAGTATGTGCGTACGCGCGCACACAACACACATATAAGTCAAGACAGTCTTACCATACTCTTTAGATCTACAAAACAAAGCATTTGAAAACTCATTCAAAAACATACTAAAAGTTTTGAATAAAAGACTTAAAACAGAATGTCTTGGGATATGATATAGAATATTAATAACCTAACTTATTCATAATTATTATTACAATTAATAGGTACTATGATACCCTCTAGTGGGGCAGGAAGGTCATACCTCTGGTAATAACTTTCAATTGCTTCCGAAGTATGATGCTTGGCATGCGTTCTTTTAATGTGTTTCTGAAAAAATAAAAAATAAAAATCTTTGTTATGTCACAGATGAGGTTCAAAACAAGAATGACGTAATTTCTTGAGCCCAATGACTAGCACATAGGGAACGCTGAATAATACCTGGGGAATTTTGGTGATGGCAGGACTTCTTTTCCTTCTACTCTACGAACCTATGCATTTTAATCTCCATTGCTTGGCTGGGATGTCTTCAGACTGTACCACAAGGTACAGTATATATGTAAAAGCCAACAGGGTCATAGTAATTGAATCTAAATAAGTTTGCTTAGGGCTACAGAGGGCAAAGAAAAACTTGTTCCCTCTTTCAACCTTTGTATTAATTTTCCCTCGATTCAATTCCATCTAAGTCCTCTGCACTCTAGTTTTACAATCCAATTGCCATTTTAAACCAGGAAGAACATTGCTTAAAAACAACTTATTTGAAAACTACAAAAAGTAATTCCATAGAGACTTGCCACTTGACTGACACCTGTCATCTCATGATAAATGACTCCATTTTCTGCCTCTCTTGCCTTCTGCCACTCCAGCAATGGTCATTTATCATCATCTCTGTCAGCAATGGAAAGCGGCACTGACAGTGCAAGTCAGCAAACATTTAGCACATGGAACCACGCAACACAGGGAAATTATTATTGTCAGAATAATAATGGTTTAGCATAATTTATTACAGGTCCACCAAATAAGCAAAGGCTAGATGTTATTAGACAGATGGATGGGTAGGCTTGGCAGGCCTCCACCGAGACGCAGGCGGTACTTGATGTGGAAAGGAGAACATCCTCCAACCCAATCAGAGAGCTGGCAGTTCAATTACAAAGAAATAAAGGGACATTCATCATTCAATTAGGCACCTGTCAACCCTCACAAAGGAGAAAACTTCTAACCTGGTACTCCTGGGAGAAGATGCTCAGCAGAGTGGCCTGCGATTGACTGGAACAAATAAAAGAAGGACAAAGTTAATTACTGGAGTGCACGGCAAAGAAACAAAAGAGAAAGGAGCTTCAAAGGTAGGCCTGCTGCCCTGTAATCTAACAGAACATGAAAACAAGTGTGGAAAAGTTGTTCCAGATGAACACCTCAAACAAAGGCTTCCTGCTGCGAGGTCAAGGAGAGAGAAAAAAGGAAAGGGGAAAATATGGATGGTCTCAAAGCAACTATCACATTATTTGGATGTTTTAAACTTTAGGATGATTGTAAATCATATTTGTGGAATGCAATGGTGTTAAAAGGGACCACAAGAAAGCAAGGCTTATCTCTGTTAATAAGTGACACAGCTCAATCTCATAAACAGTAGAGAACATGCACTTCATTCACTGACAACGTTCTGAAATTAATTTTGTTAGCAAACAGCTATTCTCCTCTACAGCTATCCCAGTTTCAGGGGGAAAACTTTGGTCTCTACTAGAAGTAGCACAGTGACCACTGGAACATTTCCACTGACAGTGGCGTGCTATGAAAATAGAAGCTTTCACAGCAAGAAGCAGAGGTCCTTGGAGTGAATTGTTCCTAAAGACTGCCCTAAGCCTTATTCATCTAAGACAACACACAGTGTCAAACACCTGGCAACGAAGCAACCTGAAAAACGTTCTTCCCAAGTGGGAATCTTCCTTTTGCAATTGTTAACATTTAGAAATGGAATGGAATTTTTCTTTCTCTCAAAAGCAATCACTATCCCACTGCTACTCTTTTCGACTGTCCTTTATACACACATCTAACTTATCGTATCTTGAGAACAATTATTTCCATTTTCCTACTAAATGCTATCTGAATAGATTACATTTTAGATAATTCGACTTTTATAGTAGCCAAAGGACTGTGAATAAATTTTTTCTATTTATAAATGAAAAAACCTCTTTAGCTCATCACAGGTAATTTAGGGAATGTGAAATAAAGTGACACCAGATTTGTTTACTCATTGTCTAGATGTCGTCATCTTCTGGATAACATTACAGATTTGGCTTCTGACACTTTCCGCCCTTACCAAATTACAAGAGGAGGTTAAAAAAAAAATACCCTAAATGTTCACCAAGGAAACTGATATATTATTAAAAGAATATTTCAATAACTCAAAAGTACAGACAAATGATTAAATACAATCATCAATTCATTACACTCCGGTTTTTTCAATTTCCCTTTAAAACTGAAAAGCACCTTTGAAAGAGGCAATTTTATATAAAATCTTCCTATTTTGCCTGGTTTGACCGAGCTTAACACCCAAATCACATACCCTAGTAGGGTTGCTGACAATAATCTTCTGGGGTGGGGGCGGGGGGAGGAAAATTGAGGCCCAAATCTTTGTAAACCACTTAATAAATTAATGTTAGATATTTACGTGCCATAAATAGACCCCCTCCTCATTGTACAGCAAAATGCATTTATGTTATTAACCATTTAATGGTACACAAAATGTCATTCTTTATGCTTCAAAAAAGATGATAGAAATAAATGTATTTGGAATGAGAAAGTCAGGGACAAATGACTAATGAAAAGAAAACTAAACGGTAAATAAAACATAAACTGTAGATGCCCAGAATGGGAAGAGGCAGCTGGAAAAGTAAGTTCAAGAATAAATACTTTAGGCCGGGTGCGGTGGCTCAAGCCTGTAATTCCAGCACTTTGGGAGGCCGAGATGGGCAGATCACGAGGTCAGGAGATCGAGACCATTCTGGCTAACACGGTGAAACCCCGTCTCTACTAAAAATACAAAAAACTAGCCGGGCGAGGTAGCGGGCGCCTGTAGTCCCAGCTACTCGGGAGGCTGAGGCAGGAGAATGGCGTGAACCCGGGAGGCGGAGCTTGCAGTGAGCCGAGATCCGGCCACTGCACTCCAGCCTGGGCGACAGAGCGAGACTCCGTCTCAAAAAGAAAAAAAAAAAAAAAAGAATAAATCCTTTAAAACGAGAAGCTGGTCAGGAGTTGAGAGTACTGTATAAGTCAAGGATAGGACAATGTCTTCAGCTAGAAAAATGTCTTCAAACTGCTTAGAATTCAATTCAGCTAAAACCATGGACAGAGCCTGCGAAGCAACTCAGTTTTTCTTTTTTTCTTTTTTTTTTTTTTTTTTTTTTTTTTTTTTTGAGACGGAGTCTCGCTCCTGTCACCCAGGCTGGAGTGCAGTGGCCGGATCTCAGCTCACTGCAAGCTGCCCTCCGGGTTCATGCCATTCTCCTGCCTCAGCCCGAGTAGCTGGGACTACAGGCGCCTGCCACTCACCCGGCTAAGTTTTGTATTTTTAGTAGAGACGGGGGTTCACTGTGTTAGCCAGGATGGTCTCGATCTCCTGACCTCGTGATCCCCGTCTCGGCCTCCCACAAAGTGCTGGTATTACCAGCTTGAGCCAACCCGCAGCGGCTCCAACTCAGTTTTTCTATGGCCGAGAGGGTTAGAGAGATTTTTGCCAGCTTACACTGGGGGTAAAAACTGGCTAGAACTATTAATAAAAAGAGAAAACGACTTCCGTATACATAGTAACGACAGAAAGAGAGACACGGGTCCAAAATGTTTTGGTTTTGTTTAAGTAATTCAAAGCTGTAGAGAACAAAGTGAACTTTGCTAGGTAGTCTGCCAGCCAACGATGTGTTTCTGCATGTGCTAACCTTGCAGAAGAGTGTTCTGACCACATGTCACACCACGAGGAGCAGGAAAGTAGTTTTAATACAACCAAGACATTGACTTCAGTGTGTATTACTTGTACTTTCTTCCAATGTGTTAATGCTGAGAAGGGACAATGGAGGGAAACACTGGGCATGTGGGGAGAACAGAGTCTCATGATCTCAAGGCTCTCTCTCACCACCTCTACCCTGCCCACAGTGTACCCTCCCACTGTGTTTGATCTGTTTGGTCAAGGGGAACAGAAGTTATAGAATAAATTCAATTTTCACTAGGTTCACAAGAAATGTGGTTTCCAGCTAAAGAGGAGAGGAGAAAAAGATTCTGTGCAACTGAAAGGTCTACCTCGAACATCGCAGTCCACCATTCAACAGTACCACTGTGCATCTACAATGTCCCAAGGTGACATGTATGGGGAAATATGCCATCAGAATCAAAAAACTAAATAAGGTGGACAGGAATTGATTTAGAAGAAACTTTCAAGTACACACACAAAAGTACACACACAAAAAAGGCAAAAATTAGAACACTGTCAAGTACTCACATTTTTTTAATACAGAATGAAGTAAATCATACCCTGAATCTTGACACTTTATATCGCTTAGAATATATGGGGTTTTAAATTTACATAATCAAAAATGCAATCATTTAATTTGTATCAAATACCCAGGATGTAGTATTAAAACTCCATCAAAACAGTTTTGCTTGTATTTTTCCCATGCTATCTCCCAGATTTAGCTCCGTACCCTGCAGCTGTTTGGGTAAGGGAGAGCATGGGAGTGGACCCAAAGAATGGCTAGGTAAAACCCTGTCCAAGTCTGGAACAGCAACAGCCACGCTGCAGCAATGTGGAAACAGGTCTGAAGGAAAAACTAGCACTGTGAGGATGGCAGACAGAAGATGGAAAGAGCTTGGGTCCTTGAGGACACTGTGGAACTGCTCAAGAGACCATGGAATTGAACTGACCAGCCTCCATTCATACTCTGTGTAATTATACGTGGCTATTTTTTAAATCTCCAAACCAAAGAAATAAAACTCTTCCCAGGCTTCTGTGTTCTCCAGTAAGGTGGAGGCGTGATGAAGAGCTCTGAGACAAGGTGCTCCAAAATGGTGCCACAGGTACAAGATGGCACACTTGAGAGGGGTTGTCCATTTCCGTAATTTCTAGTTCTCCCCTTAGCTGATGGCGATAATTGGCTTCCCTAAAATTGTTCCTCTGTCTGTCACTGACTCACTAAATTGACGTGCCTAGAGATCATAAACTGGTGTGTGATTTTCCCATATAGAGTTGAAACATTAATGGGGTACTATTTGTTCTCATGTTATATTGCATTCAACATTCTTCAAATCCCTGATATAAAAACAGGCAACACACTAGTTCCTCATGTGATATTTAACTCAATGTGCTCCCAAGTCCACCCAGCTAAGATACTCGGTAACATGAAAGAGCCTCAGAGAGTTGGGAGAGTGTAGCTTAGATTAAGAGGAGAGCTGAGCAGACTTAGTTGCAGTGCAACATTCATACAAAGGTGAGGTCCTTATGTTTTCAGATGGAGGCCTAAAAGCATGCAGAACCTTAAGAAAAGGCATCACGCATTTTATGTTACTCCTCTTCTTGAGTATGCAACCTCTGAAAAAGACCATAAGGAAGTAAATACTTTTACCTTAAAGCTCTTTTTCTATAGAATCTAGGAAGCTTAAATGTGTACACTCTACTGGGTTCAACACTCTCTGAGAAAAATAAATATTATTTCTGGAGCTTGAGAAGCAGCAAACCAATTAAAGAGAGATAAAGCAGGATACTCCTACAAAGCATTATAGTTGGATATACTTGGACATCTCACAATTGCTAGGCACAACCTCTCTAAATCTGTGAAGAATACAATGGAACACCGGCTGTCTGTAGTTAATGATTTAGAGTGCTAGTCAAGGCATATTTTCTATAAAAGCAATGCAGCTACAATCTCTTGACCATCCCCCAACCCCCCTGCCCACACACATACCACACATAAATTTGAAATGTAGAGCCATTTCTCCCTTTAAAATTAAAATAGAATTCAACAATACTACCACAAACTTTGATATAATACTACCACAAACTTTGTTTATTTTTTAGGAACACAATACAAAATGGAAATCTGGAGGGAGATTACTGATAATCTGGGAAATTACTGAGGGGGGAAAAGGGAAAAATCTGTAAACTAAGTTCCAGACATAAAGAAAAATGTATCCATCCTATCTCCCACCCTATGTCTTCTCTTCCTAATTTCCAACTTCATATCAAGGATGCAAACATTTTGTGCCTAACTACAGCAAATATC